ATTCCCTTACTTCTCCTGGCCATTTAGGGTTGATGGGTTCTAATGGGGTTATATCAGTCTCTGTCAATAGCAAACACCACAAGCAGTTTCCTCCAAGCCATTGAAATGACTCTCTCCTTCTGTCTCCACGCTGCCACACATCATACTGGTCTCTCCAAAATGCACTTCCCCCACACACACACACTCTCTCTCTCTCTTGGCTCTCATAATTATATCCTAGACCACTCCCCTCTCCGGGTAGCACAACGCAGGCCGTTACCAGTTGGCAAAGACCACTCCCCACAGGAGACAATTATCAGCTGTGGACAAACTAAAGCCCAAACTAAAATCCCACACTTGGGATTAAAACAAAAACATGTTTACATAACATAAAGAAACCAAAACGTCCATTGCAGTTTCCAACGGGATCTCTCATTGAATCTGGAGGTGGCCTACTTAGCTCCAGCTGGCCGGTGTGCACCAGCCATCTCTGCCCCCACAGCCCTGGGATTCCATGTGTATGGCACCTTGCCTGTCTCTTTAAACATGGATTCCAGGAAGACCAAACTCAGGACCTCACGCTTGTTCGGCAAGCGCTTTACTTCCCAGGGCATTTCTCGAGCTCCCACGTGTCGGCACTTCCAGTGAAACTAATTGAAACTAAGCAAAATTTAAAATTTAGTTCCTCTGTCCCATTAGCTACAGTCCTGTCGCTCAGTGGCTACATGTAGTTAATGGCTACCATATTGCACGGCATAGATGGAAAATGTTTCCATTGTCACAGGAAGTTCTACCAGGCCAAACCAACATAGATTGTACACAGAGATTTCAAGAGGCACGGAGGTGGGCTATGAAGGATGCAGCGGGTTTCCATAGCACCTAACCCCGCAGCACATAGTCTTCTGTCTCCTTGGTACCTGTCCCTTCTTAGCCTTATCAGAGATGTTTGTGTGCAACTTATCTCTTCATCCGTCTTCCTCCAGGGGCTTTGGTGTGTTTAACTCTACCACCACACAGCTTCCCACCCCACACCCTTCTATGTATATGCTAGCATGGTGCTTGGTGTAAGACAGGTACTTAAAAAGTATTTGTTAACCAGTTGAAGTGGCAATGTCAAGTGATTGGAGCAATGTGGCTGAAACTACAGGGAGATCTGGGAGACTGGTAGCAGAATATAAGAGATAGGGGGCTAGAGGGAGGGAATATACAGGATCTTATGGAGAATAGAAGTTAGCAGAAAGATGGACTAGAGGAAGTCAGAGAGACAGATAACTGTTGATGCAAAATCTTTTTAGTGCTGCCCACACCCTTGAAGCCATGTCACAGGCTCCTTGCAGACAGTGGTGAGAGTTCCTACAGGGCAATTCACAGGCTCATGAGAAGTACAGAAGAACAGAAGTAGCTACATGAGAAGTTCAGAAGAACAAGGGCTGTCTCTGACTCTGTTGCCTGCCTTTGGATTCCTTTCCCCTAACTGGGCTGCCATGTCTAGCCTCAATAGGTGAAGATGTGCCTCCTGAGGAGAAAGGAAGGAGGGAATTGGGAGAGGGGAAAGGAGAGGGAAGGACTGGGAGGAGAGGAGGAAGGGGAAGCTGTGGTTGGGATATAAAGTGAATAGACAAATAATGAAAAAAAGAAGTACGGAAGAAACCCCAAATATTACTACGTGATACATAAACATGCAAGTATAAATTGCAAGTATGAAAATCAAAGGTCTGATGAGGAGGGAGAATGAAAAATGGCCTCTCTGTGGGCCAGCTGGCTTGAGTTACATTTTATAGGCAGTGTGTGAATTCTGGCGCCCTTGTTGAATTTGCGGCAGACTCGCACATTAGTTTTAAGGCTCCCTCTCGAATAGGAACATCATAACGCTTTTTAATTGGTGCTGATAAAAAACGTAGCATTACTTGTAGGTTCCTGAGAGAAGTGAGTTGTGAAATTGGGTTTTCATTAAACCTAATGACGGAAAATTAAGCATAGTGCGTCTGGCGAAATGGGGTGTGATAAAAGGCATCACTTCTGCATTATCGAAGGTTAATAAGGGAATAGGTGAGGTAAGATACATTGGAAAAGGGAGCCCAACTAGTTGAATTAATATACCTCGAAAATTCCTTAGTTCCAAGTCCTTGTAGCATCATTACTGCAGGCATCGGCATTGTCACAAATGCTACCGCAATACAAGTTGTAACATTTCAAACACATTTATTTTCCATTCCACCGTTGGTTTTGCTGACGCCAAGTTTACAGTCTGTCTAGCAATGTTTTGTTTTGTTTTTTGGGGGGGCGGGGGACATCCATATTGATAGCCCTTTCAGTTTGGAACCATTTGGTGTCTCACAACAAATTTGCCACATGCCAACTCCTTGGAATCTACCTCTGCCAGGCAGCTGGTTTCCCGTACAGGCAGTACCCTTCGTCCTTTAGAAAATTGGGGAGGGGGGACAGGGCATAGCTCTGTGGTGTCCATATGATAGTGTTTAAGTGGGAAATAAGAGTGATGGTTGGATGTTACCTTGAAGTGTGACATCTGGAAACTCACCCTCAAGTCTCCCTTCCTCTCCGTCTCCAATCCCATTGCACCATCACAGAAGCGATGCTCCCTGGAAAGCTGCCTCCTATCCATGACAGCTGGGACACCCACAGGAAAGAGTGTGAGTCTTTACGAAGTGCTGCTCTCTTGCAGAACCTTCAGCAACTTCACACTGGCTCTTAGTCTCACATTTTCAGGCCCTCTGGATCTGCCTCCCATCATCTGCCACAATCTTGTCCCAGAGGCTTTTCTTTATACCTGCCTCTCTGTAGAGGCTTTTCTTTATACCTGCCTCTCTGTTTTTACCTAAATGTGCCTCTCTCTCTCAGGCTCTCATCACTTTGCTCATACCTATTTTTCCTTCTAGACCATCAAGCTTTGAGTGTGAACTGCATTTCTTTCTATACTACATCTGTCAAAAAAAAAAAAAAATCCTTAACTCATAGTTAACTCTCGTAACTCTAAGTCACAATTACAAGGGTGTGAAGGAGCAGAGACTCAACCCCAATATGTGCCAGAAATTACATTCAATCAGTGCTAGTAAAGATGCATCAAACTATTACCAAACCAAGGGGAGGGATAGGAAGTATTATTCTCAACGCAGGTCGGAAGATTTTTGTTTGTTTGTTTGTTTTTAGCATCTCACTTTGGTCCTTCTTCCCTGTTTATGAATGTTATCCTCCATATCTTGCTGTTGGATGATTGGGCTAATTGCCAAAGGTGGCCTGTCTTATCTACTCATTGCATTACAACAGGAAGTGCTGGAACCATGGGAGACACACAGATATCCCTCCTACTAATGACGTATGACCCAATCAGTGTTTCAAGCTCAGGCTAATCCAATCCATAGCCTGTTTTCCCATGAAGATGAGAAGGATGAAAAGTGAAGAATGTGTCCAAGACTCATCCATGAAGCAGATGAGCACATGAGAATGACTAAGACTCTCATTGTCCCTGAACTGAGGGATTTCCCTGGATACTGTACTTTGAATATTAAAGCCAACCAAAGCGGGGTTAGCCAAGTGTGACCAGTTGGTCATCCTGCCCAGCCAGACATGTCTCTGTGGTATGGTGAGGAACTGATTTTGATGTTATCACATAGAAGTGGATTATACTTTCCCAGAGTCTGTTTGATGGATTATTGTGACAGAGGAGCCAAACAAGCTGAAGGGGACATGGCTTTTAAAAAGATAAGTTACGGAAAACTCTGGAATGTATTCTATGCCTCTCAGGGAATGAAGACAGCATAGGCTTCATGGATGTCTGCATGGCAGTCTGAATGTCTGAAAACATCTGGATATACACATCAACTGCCACATCTGGCAGGCCTTATCTCTTGAATGCTACAAACATAATGGCCCCAGGGCAGAGACTGTCAAAATATTGGAGAGGATATAAACAAACCAAGCCTAGATCGTTCTGGGAAAGAGAAATGATTTCCAGAGCAACCAAACAACAGGAGGTACTTGAAGCGGTTCAATGTGTAGAGAGATTTTTATGAGGGGAAGGTCTAACATTTTTTTAAGATAGAGAGGGTCTCATGTAGTCAAGGCTGGCTTCAAACTTGCTACTTAGTTGAGGGTGACTGAACTTCTAATCCTCCAGTTTTCCCATTTTAGATATCTAGGATAACAAGTACAAGCATTACGCAGTGCTGGGGACCAAATTCATGGCTCTGCACATGCTAGGTCAGACCTAGCAACTGAGGGGTACCCCATTGTCATATCAAGGGGTATGATATGGGATGCACGTGAGAGCCATGGCTGATGAAAGTGAAGGAAAAAGTTTAGAGAAATCTGAAAGTTGGAATCGGGGCATTTCAGGGTCAATGGTAGAAAAGAGGAAAAAGGATGATAGGAATAGGCCCTGTTAGAAAGCCTATTGCTGTAGAGAGCGACTGGAGGGTTAGAGTCCCTGCTTCCTCCTGGGAGTCCAAGACTAGCTATGCTTCCTCCCTGCATACAATCCAAAAGAAGCAAACTAGGAGAGAAATCATACTGCAGACTTGCAGGCCCAGAAGCACTCGGGTGGGTTTTCTGGGACTCTCCTCATCTATAGACAAGCAACTGAGACTAGATGCAGCCTGTCGTTTCCCAAACAAGAAGGTCCTCCCAAAACTTAGCCTGGCTTCTTGCTAGTTCTGGGATTGGCTAGTATTGACCAAGGCACACAACAGGCTTACAGAAAGGGCTAAGGACTGGCAAGGGACAGTCACTAAACTGTCACTTTGTCATCACACAATCTATAATGAGCCCTTGAAACTGAAATGAACCAAGGATCATTGCATGCATTGGTTTGCTATTTCACCATTGAAATCTATATGCACAGTCAAGCAAGGGAAGCAGTGTCTATTATTCTTCCTATAGTTTCCTGACCTGAGGAGTACACAGTTTTCTCTGCCCTCCTTGGGCCATGCTGGGGGTGGGGTACAAAGAGCAAAGCTCCCAAAGTGACAGTTTGTGCTGCTTCTTCTCCTTCTTCTTTGAAGCAGATGGCAGCCGTGGGGAGCTGTCCCAACCCACCCTCACCATTCAGACTCACCCCTACCGGACCTGCGACCCTGTAGAGATGTCTTACCCCCGGGACCAGTTCCAGCCTGCCATCCGGGTGGCAGACCTGCTTCAACACATCACCCAGATGAAACGAGGCCAGGGCTACGGGTTCAAGGAGGAATATGAGGTAAGAGACCGTGGGAGGATTCCCCAGTAGCTCATGGGTATGTTTGGAGAGCTAAAGGTTGACCACGAGCAACAGCAAAGCCTGGGAACGTGGTGGAAATGCCCCACTAGACCCGCTTAACCAGAACTTACATTTTAACCAGAACCCAGACATTAGATTTGAGAACTATCATGCTCCAAGTCCCTACATTTTAGGGTCAAACATACCTTCACTGTGAAGGTATCAAGCACTCTTCCCACATGCTGTAGAAATCTCCCCTGCCAGTGGTGTCTGGCATGCCTGCTGTTTCCTGCTCACTTCTCGCCCAGTGTTCAAGCCTCTGTGCTGTTCTCACTGTGTGCCTCCAGGGCTGTGTAGTGCAGCAAGTGTTGTGTTCTCTCTCCGTACCTCCTCCCTCCTGCATTGGTCATCCCTCTCCTCCCACAACCCCCTCACTCTTGGCATCTCTGGTACGAAAGGTATGGATACATGTCACAGTTGCCTCAGGAGCTACATGGTGGTGGTAGGTCACGGTTGTGATGGTGATGGTGGTGGTGGTGGTGGTGGTGGTGTGGCAGACAACCACAGCAAAGTATGGAAAGTGCCTCCATCCAACAGTATTATCCTGTAGGTTCCAAATCATGCAGCATGCCAGCAATGCCAACCTCTAAGGTTCAAGTACCACAATCTCCTCTCCCCAAGTCTTCTTTAGTGTCTTCCAGTACCACTCTCATCATGGCTTCACATTTCCTTTGCTTTATTACACAAAACAATTTCTCTTTCAGCTATCTTGATCTAACTCCTTTTGGTTCAAATCTTACCTACTAGATCTCACCTTTTATGAAAGAAAAGCACAACGAAAAATCCATTAGGATATGTTCCTAGACCAAAGACCAGTTCACTATCCCCCAGACCCCCCCAAAAAAGTGGCAGTTATCTTAATGACAGTATAGTCCAGCTGCAGCATCTTCCTTTGCTTCCCTTTCCTTTCTCTCTTTTCCCCAAAGATCTCTTCAACATCCTCTATGTGGCAAGTGTTAAATGATACCCACCGGGTTTCCCTCCCTCCTTCCTTACCTTCCTTTCTTTTCTCCCTTCTTCTTTCTGTCACATGCAACAATGACCCAGATATATTCTGTTCAGTTCCACTGTGTGCAGCAAAGGCGCCTTGGCTCACTCCAGCTCAGACAAAGTTTATCTCTCAGACTAAATTCCTAAAACATGCTTACTGAGTAGTATTTCTGATGTCATGGGAAGACATGAAATCATGCTAAAAAACTTGAGATTCAGATAGCTGGGTTTCAATGCAGTAAGGTGTGTGATCTTGGCATATCACAGTTTTCAAATTCTTCATTAATTGAAGAGTGTGTCTAAATGGCTCCTAGGACCTATTTGCCCCTAAAACTTTATGGGAGTACAGAACAGTAGAGAGGTCCATGTTTGTCATACTTTGAGAATAGAAACATTTCTACCAGGTCAGGAGAGGCAGCAGTTAATTTCAGATATAGTCTAAGTCAAACACCTTTTTTGTGTGTATACTCAGTCTATTACAAAGCCTCATAGATTCAAAACCTACTGCTTCTTTAATATATATATATGTGTGTGTGTGTGTGTGTGTGTGTGTGTGTGTGTGTATGTATATATGTATGTATTTATGTATATTAGGACACAAACTGGTAAAGGTAAATGTATTCCTTTATAGTTTTTCCAAACCAGGGAGAAAAAGACTCTTGGTTGAGGCCTGATTTCTGCAGCATTGTTGCCCTTTTATACAAAAGATGAAACAAAAGCCAGAAGCTACAAAATATTAATTTAAGTTGCCAGAATTATATGGTATATCTTCCCAAGAGGCAAACTCCTCCTCTGATTGGCACCAAAACTGATTCAGCCTTTTCCTTCCCCCAGCCTGGGATTCACTGGGGCTCATCGTTTCAGAAATCTGATAGGAAAGGGGAGGATACAAGTTTTTCTTTGGAATATTTCCTTTCCTGCCAGGATAGTTACAGGACTATCAGTTTTGGAAGAATATTGGAACAAGAGTCATGGGTAATGTTCCCATAACATCTGAGTCTTATTTCCTAAAAAGATAAATTGTCCCAAGCCTTGTGTGTGTGCCGGCACACATGCAGATCAGTTCGTTGAGCAAATACCTCAGGACAGGGTGTGTTGTTTGTAAAGACATGCCCAATATTACTGTAGTTTGATAAGCCCTTAGTCATTATAGTGTGTCTTGAAAGTTCAAATAGCATCAAGAGAAGTATGTACTTTATCAGAAAGGTTCATAAGTGGTCAAAGCCTAAAATACCTGTTATGTGAACTTGAAATCTAAAATTCAAGAACAGAAATACAGATGCAACTGACCATTTTGGAACATTTCTTTCCAGCATATTTCTTCTCAAGCATCTATCCCTGTATCATCAGTTGTTTGTGTTGTTGTTAGATTGAATGTTTTATTTTTGTTTTTAATTTTTTTTCTACCTGTCAGCATCTCCCAAGATTTCTAGCATGGAAATAAACTTACTTTACAGTAAAGAATGTGTGTTATTCCATCACTTGGGCCTCAACTCTAAATTTTTCTGATGAAGCCAGCCTTACCTTTAGTTAGTTCAAATTGTATTAATGGCTAGCTAGTGTGACATCATGCTTCTGGTTAACAGCATTGTTTGGTTAATCAGGAGCTAATTAGAAAACACTGTTTGTTGAAATAGTCTACTTTTGTAGGATGTGGTAGTCCAGTTTCTCAGAAAATGACTGTGGTGTCTTTTATCATAAAGGGTCTTACGGTTTCTATAACCCTCATCTTGTATGTGAATTACAGATCTGCATCAAGGCTCAGTGTCGACATAAAACCTTGAGCCTCCAGTTCTGCTGTCGTACAGCTGCTGTGTGATGTCCTTGCCTGTCACATCCCCATTCTGCTATGCTTTCATTTTTTTCATACCAATGTGTAGATTTGACAAGTTGACATCTAAGGGAACATCAGTGTTCACAAGCTGCGCCTTCTCAAACTCGACCCAGCTACATAGTCACTCTTAGATTTGTACTGAGTATTTACTATTGCCCAGGAGTATTCTAGGCATTTGGGATACAATGGTATCCCAATAGTATACAATAGTATCCGTGCCCTCATGAAGCTTCTATTCTAGCAGAGTTAATAAAAAATAAATATAGACTTAAAATAAATAAACCACTGTTTGCTGTATTACAAACTACCTCAAATATGAACAACAACAACAATAAAAAAAAAAACCAGTTGATTTATTTCAATAATTGGCTCTACGGGTTAGGAATTTGAACAGTGAATAAAATATACAGTAATCTCTTCTCCATAATGCAAGTCTCCATGGCTGTTGCTGAAATCTCTATAGTGTTTTTATTCTGATGTCTAATAATAGATGCAGACATCATCTATGATCTCAGTGGAGATTTTCCACTAGGATTCCTCTGCATAACCTCCTGAGTGGCCTGGCATTCCTGGCCGAGTGGTAACTTCCAAAACAGTTGGACTTTTTATATGGTTGTTCAGCGCTCCAAAGGTAACCTACCAAGGTAAAAATTGCCTACTGTAGGTGGCCTAAGCTTTGAGGCCACATTGTGTTAGATATGAGCAAAGGAAAAGCTGACCCCCTTCCAGTAAGGAGAGAAAGTAGACATAGGGGGACCATTTGCCAGATTCTAGAAGAGGACATAAGATACTAGATAACATAATCTTGGAGTGATAGGGTATGCTAGCACAAAAGAGAGTAGGACAAGAAAGGGAATAGCATAATCCATAATATTGGATGCAAGCAGGTCCAATATTAATGAAAGTAAAAGAACAGTCCTTAAGAAGGGTAGGTTTGGGAGGAGGGATTTCCATGGCAAGGTGATAATATAATGGCATGTGCAAACATGAATAAAGAAGGCTGGTCAGGATATAGTGAACACATGCTGGGCATGAAAGAGGGACCCAGGTCTTTGGTAGACTACAGACTAGTATAAGGAGTTTGGATTTCATTCTCGGTAAGCTGGAAACTAACTGCAGAGCTTTGATAACAGGCACTAATGGTCTGATTTTATGTATGAAAATTCATTCTAGATACTGTGAGTAGAATGGTACTTGGGGGGCAAGGTAAGCCAGTGATGTGGTAAGCCAGATGAGACAATGTGACTGTGACCAGGGACAGCAGAGAAGTCCATAAGAAAAGGTTGAGTTCTGAATATGTCACAAAGATAGAGCAAAGAAGACTTCTTTAAAAAAAAAAAAAAGAAAGAAAGAAAGAAAGATCTTATTTATTTTACATATTAGTGTTCTATGTGCATGCAAGAAGAGGGCATCAGATTCCAGTATCGATGGTTGTGAGCCACCATGTGATTGCTAGGAATTGAACTCAGGATCTCTGGAGGAGGAGACAGTGCTCTTACCCACTGAGCCATCTCTCCAGCCCCAAGACTTCTTAATACATGGTGTGTACATAAGGAAAGGAATCAAGAATGACTCTGAAACGCTTACTTGGACAGCTGGAAAGATGGAGTTGCCAAAAATAGTAATGAGAAGTTACAGGAAGGTCCAATCTGGAGCAACTGGAAGTTCAATTGATAAGTTTGCAATGTCCATAAGAACAGTTAGCTATATGAATGTGACCTTGAGAAAGAAGCCCAGGCTACAGAGAAAAGCCAAAAGATCAGAAGAAGTCAACAGGCATGTCAACAGAGACAGGAACCTTGGACTGAACCTTTTGAAAGTCCCAGTTTAGGATGATATAGAGTACTTTCCATGAGTTATGCATTGAACTAGCTCTATGGACTAAGGAGATACAGTAAGTATTACTCTACCTGTAGAACTTGAGCTTATGATTAAGGACAGCCATATAGACTGATAGTTTAATTGCAGGAAAAAATGCCACCATAAAGGAATACCCAGAATTATAGCAAACCATGGAGATAAGGTATATTCAGCCTGATGATAGATATGTTAGTGATTTTCAGGAATACACTAGTCTCAACCAACTGTAAAGAAATAAGAATAGGAAGTGAAAATA